AGGAGGAGTCACAGCCGCAGCAGGAGAGGGTAGAGGAGGAATCACGACCGCACCAGGAGAGGATAGAGCAGGAGTCCCGCCCGCAGCAGCAGGTGCAGTTACAGACACAGCAGGAGAGAGTAGAGGACCAGTCACGGCCGCACCAGGAGAGTGTAGAGCAGCAGTCCCACCCGCAGCAGCAGGTGCAGTTATAGACCCAGCAGGAGAGAGTAGAGGAGGAGTCACGGCCGCAGCAGGAGAGGGTAGCACAGGAGTCTTGGTCGCAGCAGCGGGTGCAGCTGCAGTCGCAGCAGGAGAGGGCAGACGCGGAGCCACAGGAGCAGCAGCAGGGGCCGGTACCGTCGCAGTAGACGCCAGAGGAGGCGGAGCAGCAGCAATTGCGACTACGCGACCTCCCCGTCCCAGCACCTTCACGCTTTGTTCGTGGTCCCCTACCGTCCCCTCCTGTTCCCCCTGTTGAGTCCCTGTCCTCGTCCCAGTGGACTCGTCGTTCTCCCCTCAGTTGTGCTGTGTCCCCAGAGCGTCGTCGGTCCCGTTACCGTGCAGACGGCCTGTTCCACCTTGTTCTTCGCTCTCATGTTCCACCTCCTCCTGTCCTTCCACAGCCTCCTGAGTCGTCCCTCACTGTGCTTCACGACCCGTTGTCCGACTACCTTCGTGCCTCCCGTCCTGTCGTCTCCCGTGTTTTGTCCGCGTTGGTCACTCACCCGACTGCACCCCTGTCGTCTGTCTCAGCACTTGTTACCACTGTCGCTGGCTTTGCCTCTTCCCACCGCCTTGACTACGCCGCTCACTTGGTGAGTGGCCCTGCTCGTTCTCCGTTCTCTGGGGGTGCTCTTTTCTTCCCCTGGAGGTCCTAGAGGACAAGCAGTTTGAGCTTGGTTTCCTTGCGGCTGCTGTTCCTCATCTCTGTCACAATCCTATAGTAGCTGGTAACCGGGTTTAAGGAGGGCCTAGGCTTAGTAGCCTAGGCCAAGCTATTGTCGAGGTCAAAGTAAGTTGACGAGAGAAATTGACCAAACAAGTTAGCTTCACTAAAAGCAAAGCATACAAGATATAGTCGAGAGACACAAACAAGAGGTGCACCACCAACAGCAAGGACACATGACTACACTAAAGCTAAAGCTACAGGCAGTTATGAATATATATAAAATATATATCGCGACACACCCCCTTAACTGTCTGCAGCACACAGCTAGAGTGAGTCACACCCCCTGAAGGGGAATAGCACGCGCAACGGAAGACGGCAGAGGGGTAAGTGAGGAGGAGGAGGCGAGAGAGAGAGAGGAGAGGAGAGGAGATAAGAACGGAGGAGGAGGTGAGTGTGGGATGAGGAGAGGAGGTGGGGGGGTGGCCGCGGCGTCCCCTCTTACTAACCCCCTTTTACGAAGGGGGGGGTTGAGTGGGGGATGAGGAGAGGAGGTGGGGGGGTGGCCGCGGCGTCCCCTCTTACTAACCCCCACATCCCCACCCCAAACAACCACCCCCCTTTAACCTCACCCCCCATTTCAGCCGCCCCCTGGAACCGCACTCCTTCCCCCCTTTCTCCCTCCAGACCCCTGCCCTCCCACAGTAGTCCCTGCACAGACCGTCACACGGCAGCCAGTCCCCTCTCCCCCACCCTCTGCCCTGCCTCTCCCCTCCCGCAGCTGCTGCTGTGGGGGGGAGGAGGCGGGGACGAGGGTGGGGCTGTATTGGTTCACGGCGGCCACCCCTTCCACGCCACCCCCCCCTTCACAGCCGAAGTCGCGGACGGGAAGGCAACGGGGAAGGGCAGGGCTGGCGGTGGTGCTGGCGGATGGCGCTGGTGGCGGCGCTGGCGGTAGTGCTGGCGGCTGGCGCGGGTGTTGGGGCCTGGTGCTGGCGTGACGGTGCTGGTGCTGGGGCCTGCTGCTGGCGTGACGGCGCTGGTGCTGGTGACTGGTGCTGGCCTGACGGCACTGGTGACTGGCGTCGGTGCTGGTGCTGGCAGTCGTCCGCCCATGATGCGTCAGCGTGCCTAGTAAGTCGCACTGGCTAGCTCCCTCCAAGCACAAATTCCATGCCTGATGTAGTCGCCAGGTACTTCGTTACCCTCTTAGCTGCCGTCTACGTAGTGAGCCTGGCAGTGTCTGTCAAAAATTATATATGTTATTGTTGTGTAGGCTGTAGTGGGTTAGCCTTTAAGGGGTATATCATTCTAGGGTTTGCTACTTGTATCACCAATCTTCATAGTTCAATCACTTGTTCTTTCTGACATGGTATTAAGAGCGAAGGTCCTAGCCCTAGGACGGGCCCATCGTTCCGCTAGTTGCGCCCTCGTGCGCCTTCTCCTAATCGCGCCCTCGTGCGCCTCACGCCTAGTGCGCCCTCGAGCGCCCCACTTTTTCGGCCGCGTCGCCCGCTAGCCGCTCGCGCGCGGCCCTTTTCTGAGCGCGCGCCGACCCCTAGCCGCCCGTGCGACCGGCGCCGCCCACGAGCAACCCCTAGCCGCCCGTCGACCGCCGCCTAGAGCGTCGCAGCCACGCCCGTAGGCCGCCGCGACGCCCTCTCTAGGCCGCCGCCCACGCGTTAGTCAGGCCCACGCGCAGCCACGGCCCGCCCGCTACAGCCGCCCACGCGCACGCCCCCAGTCGCGCACCGCCGCGTAGCCCAGCCCGAGCCGAGCCGCGCCGCCCGAACCGAGACGCGCCGCCCGAACCGAGCCGCGCCGCCCGAACCGAGCCGCGCCGCCCTGGCCGAGCCGCGCCGCCCTACTGTGCCCCACCTGCAGCAACTCCTGTTCCTGTTTGTGAGGATCTATGATCGAGCTCAGAAAAGAGAATTGTAATTGAATGATCACCTGGGTACAACACGAGGCTATATATAGGCTCGACACAAGGCCTAGTAACCAGGTGTTACGCGAAGGTTCCGCGGGTCGCGAAGCGTCCCGAACAGATCCTTCCCGAATTCGGTAGAAGGCAATTCGGTGGCAACCGAAAAGTCAGAATTCGGTGCACGCAACCTAGCTCGGTGCTATAACTATAATAATATATAGGAAAGCACCTAGCCTAGGAAATCAAGCAATTCATGCATGCATATAATTATCCTATGCTAGAAATAGCATGATAAAGTAAAGGCAAGCAAGCATAGCTGGCATAAGCCGTCGTACTCTCACACGTCCCCCCCTCAAAGCTGGGTGGCGTGAGATACACCCTGCTTGACAAGATAGTCCTTGAGAGCACGGCGTGCGTTGCCCATATCAGCTTCTGCAACCCAGCTGTCCTCAGTGGGGTCGTAACCCTTCCAGCGGATCAGGAACTCGAGGGCCTTGCCGCCGCGGCGCCGATGAGTGAGAACGCGCTCCACTTCGTACTCTGGTTCATCCTGTATGAGAACAGGTGGTGGTGGCGGTAGCTGCCGTCCCTGGAACTGTTGGTTGGGATCCTTGTAGGGTTTCAGGAGCTGCACATGGAAAGCATTGTGAAGTTTCCACGTATCTGGTAAGCGCAAGCGGAATGTAACTGGTGTCACCTGTGCCTCCACGAGAAAAGGACCACAGAAGCGAGGCCGGAGTTTGGATGGGAGGTGAGACAGGTTCAAGTTGCGCGTGTCAAGAAGCACCTGATCTCCGACTGCTACTGAGTGATCACGTCGCTGACGATCGGCATACTGCTTCTGGGAGGTCTGCATCGTGGTGAGTCGTCGCTGAGTCTTCTCCCATAGCTGCTGCATGGTGGTGACGATGTGCGGCTTGGACGTGTGCCGGTGTAGTTGGCTGCTGTGGGGTGAGTGGTTCCCGTCCGTAACACAGGAAGAAAGGAGTTTTTCCTGTGGCCGCATGTGACGCGTTGTTGTAAGCGAACTCTAGGGTCGGTAACTGTGTGTCCCAGTGGCTGATGTCGTCTTTGCAAGCTGTGCGCAGTAACTATTCAACCACTTGATTGAGTCGCTCGGTCTGTCCGTCAGTCTGTGGGTGGTATGCTGATTCGTCAGACTAGTACACAGTTTTAGTCTGAAACTCTCAGAGTTGGTATAAAAAAGGCTGAAACTTCAGAGTGTATAAAAGAAAAGGTCTGAACATTCGAAATCAATGTATTCAATGTTCATCAGAAATGTATTCAATGTTTCATTCATCTGATATTGAAACATGCAAGACTAAGGGGATTTCTGGTGAAGATGCTCTGACGGCGAATCTGCAATGTCAGACGCGAATTTTTGGTGATTGGGCGAAATCGTTGTGCTCTGATCTGACGGTGCAAATCTGTAGTGTCAGGACGATTTTGCTATGATTGGTCGAAATGTTTGTGCTGTAAGGAGCGGATTTGCTGTGTCAGGGCGATTTTGCTTTGACAGTGCGAATCTGCTGGGGTAAGTAGCTTTCGCGGGGGTACTACTAGGGACCCCGCGCTTTCTAGGGAGCTACAGTGCCAGCAGGGGGCACTTTCCGCCCCCTCGTGCCTCAGACAGGGGAATTATAGAAACAACACAGAACTCTTCCCCACATTCACCCACGTGTCACAAATTTGGAAAGTTAAAAACGCACGGCAAAAAAAAAAAAACCCATAGGGAACCTGGACTCATTTTCGGGAGGGATCAACCCTAAACACGGGAACCCACATTGTTTTTAGGGTTGATGCCTCCCCGAGACGCATCCCTTCCCGATTGGGTTTTAGTTATTTTTCGGTCAGGTAAAGGGATATTTTTTCCCTTGGCTTGCGACAGTTGTGACACGTGGGTGAATGTGGGACCGAGTTCTGTGTTGTTGCCATAATGTTCCTGTCGGAGTGGCGGAGTGGCGGAAAGTGCCCGCATATAGCACTGTAGTCCCCTTGAAAGCGCATATGTTGGGTTGTACTGTAGAGTGTATGGGTTGCTACTTGTTTGTACCCCCTTGCATGTCCTCTCAAGATGAACAAGCAAGCATCGTCAACCAAAAAAACAAAACAAAAAAAATGTACACATAAACTCCACTCGTGCGTATAGAAAATTTGTCCCTGATCCGTACGGCTCTACATATCAGGCAGCATGGGCGGAAGCGGCTAGATGATGCCTTGGCGGCGCAGGTCCTGGAAGGTCTTGCGGTCGTACACGTTGCCCTCGCGATCCTCACACTCCTCCTCCACCTCCGGCCGCCACTTGCTGCCGCCCTGCTTCTCCCGCATGCGCTCCCATAGGGCTAGCGCGTCCTGTAGTGCAAGTCAAGCATGTGCAGTGCAGCCGGCGGGAAGCGAAGCGGAACAATTGGAGTATGAAACAACATGAAGCGCACATGGTCAGGCCTTGAAGCTTGCATGGCCTTGACACATGCCCTGTTGATGCCACAAAGCACTTAACGGCACATAACGCATGGCACAGAGCCAACTCAGGAATAGGTGCCTTCGCGTTCCCTCCTAAACGGCCCACCTTGATGACGGTGACTTCATGGAAGGCCTTGGTGTTGGGCACGCCGAGGCAGCGCATGCCGTGTTGATGCCGGAACTCCCGGAAGTGCCGCTCGAACGCGCGCCGCCCCCAGTAGCTGTAGTTGCCGCAGATCTCACACTTGAACTCCTGCCAGGGAACGACGGTGGGGGGGGGGAGGAGCAGAGAGCACATGGCACGGCAAGGCAGGGCACAGGGGATGAGTCCGTGGGCAGGGGAGAGTGCGCGCGGTGTGGGCACCGGAATGGCCTTGATTCTGAAGAGAATGTCCGTTTGAACGTACCCGGTTTAACTCATACCTTGTACCTGCTTGAGCCCATACCTGCTTGAGCCCGTACCTGCTTGATCCCGTACCTGCTTAAGCCCACCTGTCCACCTTTCACAAGTCCGCACCTGGTTGAGCCCGTACCTGGTTGAGCCCATGCAGCTTGTAGAGCCAGTAGGGGATGGGCTTGCCGTCCCACCCCATGGGCAGCTTCAGCGGGTTGTAGATCTCCTCCTCCTCCTCCTCGCTCTCCTCCTCCTCCTCCACCACCTCCTCCTGCCACGCACACACATACAGGCGCACACAGTGGGGCACGGCGCGGTGCATTCAGGGCTCGAAACGTCAACGAGAAAGCAGACAAAGAAGGAAGATAGACCTTCATCAACTCCAACCATCCATTTCTCATTCCCTACATCTCTTCTTTCCTCCCTCTGTTTCCTCCAATCACTCCATCCTCCCCCACTCTCTCTCCCTCTAACTTGCTCCCTCTTTCACCCAATCACGGACCTCCTCTCGCTCGGCAGCCATCTCCTCATATGTGAGCCCGGCCTTCTTCTCCACGTGCACGCGCGTCTCTGCGATGGGCTGCCATGCCATGTGTAGCATTGCAAGGAGCGCGCATGGTGGTGATGGTGCGTGCATGCACATGCAGGTCATGCCACACACAACAACACACGTGCCGGGAGAGGGGAGGGGGGTTGAAGGTGGTTTCCAAAGAGCAGTGTTGGGAGTGGGCCAATTACACAGAACGAGCGTGAGCACGGCATAAGTGATCAGCAAGAGACACCTTCCGTACCAACCAGCATCACACCCCACACCGCCACCCAAACCCCCTCCCCCTCCCCTCACCTCCTCCAGCAGCTCGCACAGCCGCTGCACCTTTGCCTCCACCAGAGCCACCTCACGAGCCACACTGCCACCGCCGCCACTGCCGTTGCCACTGCCGCCATTGGTGCTGTCTGCAGCAGCACCCGCGCTGCCCTTGCTGGCCTTGGCGCCCTTCTTCTTGGGCGGGGCGAACGCCTTGGCGAAGTGCTTCGGGTCGATGGCCTCAAAGCGCGTCGTCTGTGACAGCAGGGGGCATGGCGGGGGGGAGTGCGGGCGAAGAGGTGATCATGGAAGGCTTTTGAAAAGAGGGCGCAACAGGGTAGTGGCGCATGGCACAGAGGGAATGGATGGAAGCGGGCCAAACAGCACTTGCCACTATACCCACAAGCCACACTCCCACCGCCCCACCTTGGCCATGAGCAGTCTCTCTGCGCGCTCGCGCGGTGTGCCCCCCGTCTTGAGCCCCAGCGCACCGAGCGCCTCCTTGACCTTGGCGGGCGGCACGAGGTCCTCGTCCAGCAGCTCGTCCACCGTGTCGAACGCCGATAGGTCCACCACACCCTGCTTCATGCCGTACCCCTCTCCGCCCTCGCCCCCCTCCTCCTCGCCCTCCCCCCCGTCCCCCTCACCACACAGCACCCCCGCCCACCCCAGGCCCTGGTCCTCCCACCCCAGCACCTGCCCCTGCTCCCACCGATCCCTGAAATATAGCTGCCCCGAGGAGAGGGGGAAAGGTGGGGGTGTAAGGGGATGCGATTCATGTAGGAGATAGGACGAAAGGAGGGGTGTGAGGTGGATGCAACAATTTTTACTCAGATGAATTTGAACTCAAATTTGAGACGTCCCCGATGGGGAGTAGGATGGGATGGATGGAGCGCATGCGCATGGATGTGCCAGGGACGAACGGGGTTAGGGTGTGTTGGGGGACGGGGGGGAGGGAATTGGTACCAAGGGGTATGGGCACAGGAAAAAGGCACAGAGAAATGGAAGTGTGTTGGAGTGCAGTGGTGGGCCCACCTTGCTGTAATGCTTTGCGAGGTCCTGCAGCGGCTGCGTGCGGCGGAAGAAGGACTCGAGGTACTCCGCCACGCCGCCCACGTATGTGCGGTACGCCCTGCCCAGTGGGGCGCAGGGCAGGGCGGCCAGGGGGGTTGGTGGGGAGAGGCATTGCGAGTGTGGGGGCAGGGAGTTTGGGTCGAGGGGGAAGGGGGAGAGAGAGAGAGGAGGGGAGACCGAAGAAGAAGGTGATGATGAGAGCAGAGTGGCAGTAGAGGGGGACATGGGGGAGCAATGCACGGCAGCAGATATGGGCAGTGAGCGCCTTGCCTCGTGGCCACTGTGATTCGCCCAACAGACAGGCTAGCCCGCAATGACTGCGCTCCCGCTGCTCAAACCACTCCAGTCCCTCCCCCCGCCCACCCCCTGCGCACCGTACTTGGTGAATTTGAAGTTGCGGGGGATCTTGTGTGTCTGCGGCAGCTGGTCCAGGAACGTGGGGTAGTCCATGGCGCGCCCGAACCTGGCGTTGCACAGCTGCTGGTGCCACGCGTGCATGTCCACGTGCTTGCCCATCGCCTCCTGGAGAGACGGACGCGTGGCCACACGGACGGGGGAATGGTTGGGAGGGGGGAGGGCAGGGACGGTGCGCACAAGGGCGAAAGAGGGCAAGTGGAGCTTTCTCTGGCAGGCTGCACGCCTCACAGTCCGCAGGCTGCACGCCTCACAGTCCGCAGGCTGCACGCCTCACAGTCCGCAGCAGTCACTCCACTCACAGTCTCGCCGCTCGACTCACCTCCTTACTTCACTGCACCCAGGGCTCACCTCCCCGCTGAACTCACCTCCCCGCTGAATTCACCTCCCCGCTGAACTCACCTCCCCGCTGAACTCACCTCCCCGCTGAACTCACCTCCCCGCTGAACTCACCTCCCCGCTGAACTGCACCCAGGGCTCATCCTTGATGAGCTCGTCCACGTCCGCCTCGCCCTCCACCACCCTCGCCCCCGCATGCCGCCTGTGGTACTCCCGGATCTGCCCCGGAGGGGGAGGGGTGGGGAGGGAAGGGGGTGAGGTGGGGGGGATGGAAGAGCAGGCAGGAATAAAATGAAGCAGGGACAAGCGGGAGAGAGAGGAGAAATGAGGGTGGAAAGGGGTTGTGTAAGAGCGGGAGGGGGTGTTTAAGGGGAGTGGGAAGGGCGGGGCCGGGTAGGGACGTTGAGGCGGAGAAACGAATCACCGGGTGGGAAAAATATCCTTGGAACAGGGATGATGCCCTGAGGCATGATGCCAGTGGCGTGAGGAGGGAACGACTCTCACATGGAGCCCAAGGCCATCATCTACCCCCCTGCTCCCCCTGCCCTCTCTGCCCTCTCCCGCTTGTGAAGGCATGGTGAACGCACGCAGTGAGTGTGAGCTCCGAGTTAAGCAGAAGCAGCCCTCCGGTGCTGCACTGCACACTACTCAAAGCCCCTATTTACCGAACAAATTCAACCCTTCGCCGCATGGTTCATCTGTGCAGGAAGCCAACCATCAACACGTCACATCGCAGCTCTCTTCACCGAATTGAACCCGCCCTCTCAACTCATTGAGCCCCTCTTCACCGCACTGCACCCAAGGTGTGGTCACCTCATTGAGGCGCTCGTAGAAGGAGGTGAAGACGGTGGCGCTGGGGTTGGGCGTGTCCTGCCCGCCCAGCGCCGCTATCTCGTCCCTCCTCGCCCCGTCCGCGTCCGCGTAGATCTCCGCCTGCCTCATGCATGCCCCCCCATGCCCCGGGGGGGACAGATGGGGGAGAGGGAGAGGGATGGGTGGAGAGGGGGAAGGGGAAGGGTGGGGGAGGGGAAGGTAAGGGGAGAAAAAGGGGAGGTAATGGGGCGGGAACGGAAAACAAAGTGAGGAAGCCAATAGGAGAGTAGTGAGAGCAGAAGGGTGGGAATGTTGGAGGTAAGTTCTGAATTTCCGAAAAGGTAAACTCTGGAGCAAGGGAGGGGGCGGTGGGTGATGGCGGAAGAGGGTGAGGGGCGGTGTGGCGGCGAGGATTTTTGGCGAAAGGTAATTGTAAGGAACAAGTTTTTACAGCGGGGCTGTCTTGGCATAGTGGCGTAGGAGGGTGAGAGGGACGAGAGGGGCGAGATGGGCGAGAGGGTCGAGAAGGGTGAGAGCGGTGAGAGGTGATGAGCGAAGTGAAGACGGCACAGCAGCGCGTGCAAGGCCGTGGTGGCTCGACGGGCAAGGGCGAATGGAGAGAAGGCGTCGGGGAGGCTAGGGCACGAGGCTGCTTCCGCCTGCTTCCACGCAATCGACCTGTTCCATCGATCGCCCCACCGCCCATCACCCGCACGCATAACTTATCCTCAACGCCGCTAGATTAACTGTCAACGACGTGCTATAAGCAAGATGGTGAGCCGCACATCAGCAGCCGAATGCGAGGCGCGAGGCACGCAGCGCCACGAGGCACGCAGGCAGGGCCTTCGGGAGTGCAGCTAACCAGAGACGGTAGTGAAGCTTCGCGAATCGTATCTAGAAGTCGAGATCCGCCCGCCCCGCCGGCGTCGCTTCGCCCGCCGCCGGCTGCAAGTCGAGCGAAGGTGCGACTAGACGTAACGATACCGCCAGCGAGAACCCTAACAATTTCCGCTCTAACCATCTTCACCCTGACGATGCTCGTCGGCGACACGGCGTACCAGGCGCGCGCTGTTGGCGACGATGGCATCGACGACGTTCTTGATGCGATGGCTCTGAAACAGCTTCTCGCGATGCGACGACAGGCTCTGCTGCAGCTCCTTCACCGCCTGCCGCTCCAGCCGCTCGTTCTCCTCGTGCATCGCGCGCGCCTGCTCCAGCAGCGTGGACGCCATCGGGGCGCAGCGCGCGTGGTTGTATGGGGATGCGATCACGAATCAACACTCACAAAGAAACACAGGCGAGGTCAGGTCGCACATTTGTTGCGCTGCAACGGTTCTTTTGTCGTGGCTCAGGGCGGTTCCACACGGTGGAAAGCGGTTTTGGAGGTTCCGAACCTGTGTACGAGCCTAAATTATATTTTTTAGGCATGCTATTGGATGGCATGCTTTTAGGGAGAAATCAACCATAATCACTCTGCGACAAGGTGTTTAGGGTTGACTTGTTTCTGAACAAAAATTCCGTCAGCTTGTTGGGTGTTTAGGTTCGAAAATTGTTCGAGCTAGTTTCGGCGCTGGTTCGGCACTGCTTCGAAGGGGTGCGACTCACACGGCCCTAATTTGGCCATCTCTCTGCTATTCTTCGGCCCTAATCTGGTCATTTCCGCTGTTTGTAGAGGCTGCCGAACCCCCAAATGGTGGATTCGACGCCTCGTGCTATTGCCCGATTTTCCGCAACGTCGCATGATCGAACAAGGCGCTTGTTCGAACAAGGGGGGCGTCACCTGTAGAACATGTGTCACAATTGAAATTCTGTTCAAAATTGTTTTCAGAACTAAAATGGGACAGTATTCGTACAGTGAAAACGATACGCATGTTCGGACTTGGTGTTTCGAGCCCGAAGTGATACGCCCTAAGGCTTGTTCCAGTTACGGTACGTCTTCCGTGCTAGGCTGACGACATTGCCTGCACGCGGTTGACGGCACGCGATGCCATCACCCAGCTTGTAGTCCGCCCAGCTTGCTCGATCAGACTGCCCACTTTTGCTAGGTTACGCCAGCCCAGGCTATCTACGATGCTATGGTTAGGCGCTGCTCATCCCCCTAGGTTGTCTCGCGTTGCCATTTCTCTTCCCAAACAGTCTGCCTTTCCCACTGTAGCTCACCTCATGACCCGTATGTGCTCACTCGACTCCTGCTACAATGCCGCCCTCACGCTAGAGTTTCTGGTAGAGATTCAGCCCCCCATTTACCTCACTTTGTACTTCCTCATGACTCGCCTCCCTAACACCCTGTGTTCTGTTCACGATAACTTCCCCTCCCTAGACCCAGCTAGTCTCGACCTTGCCTCGTTCGAGACTTGTCTCCTCGAGGCCGAAACCAGTGGCCATGTTGCTGCCTCCTGTGACACCCCCAGCACCTCCTTTTTTGAGGGGTGTGCTCTCTCCCTTCTCGCATCCTTCGTTGCCTCTGCAATTGTTATTGACCTCCTCCATGCTGAGGAGGTCAGCGCTGTGTCCACTCCTAGCACGAGATGCAGCGGCAGCGGTGGAGATAGAACAAGTGGGGGTGGTGGAGGTGACTATGGCGGGGGGGGGGGGGGGGGGGGGGTGGGGGTCGCGGAGGTTGAGGACGTCGTGGAGGGGGTTGGAGTGGTAGTCGTGGTCGAGTTGGCGAGCGTGGCGGGGGTGGACAAGCCAGTGAAGGAGGCAGCTCTGGAAGTGGCAGCAACAGGTAGAGGCTGCGAGCGTAGGTGTTTGTGAGACTACTAGCACAGGTGCAGTTCCTCGAAAGGCTCTCGTTCACGCCGGACTCTGGCGCGACTTGGTGCTTCTTCCACGACTGCACCACAGTCACACCGCTCCCAGCACCTGCACATGTCGCGGGGGTCGGCCAGATTGGTGGAGGTCTCTGTACCACGACCTCTCCTTTGGACTAGATGGTGCACACGACTCCACTGTTCGCCCATGTTCGGGAGTCCACTGTGGCTCCCTCATAGGTCTCCACCTCCCCTCGGTTGCTACGAACTAGGTGAGTGCCGATCACCTCCAGGATATGTTGGTTACCACCACGATTCCTGGGGGCGAGCGCGTGGTGATCTGTATGGACACAGAGACTGTAGACCAATTCACACGAAGGCCCGGGTCTGGACTGTACATACTGCATACTGAGTCTGCTCAGGTGGCTGCGTTAGGTCAGGTAGCAATGTCTTGCTCGTGTCGGTTACTCACACACCAATCTCTCCTATGGCACCACCACCTTGGTCACCCTTCCTTTCCGTGCCTCCTCAGCATGCACTCGCGTCGCCTTGTTTCTGGCCTCCCGCAGACCCTGCCCTCGCTCCCACCGTTGCTTGCGCCGCCGTGCACTCCTTGCGTCAAGGGGCGGCAGCACGCTACTCGTCACTCCTCGTTTCCTCTGACTACTGCTCCTCTACAGATGCTGCACATGGATGTGTGGGGCCCTGCTGAGAAACTGAACGAGGATGAATTGACTAAGGGAAAGTTTGGTACAAATGCAAACCCTAGAGAACTGTACCCCATATGTGCTACCCCACTATAGCCTACAGTAACTATGTCATATAAATCTGACACACCCCCATAGGCAAAGTGGGGGAGAACAAGGGGTCACAAGACCAGTCAAGCAAAGCAAAGCAAGCTCAGGGTGGATCACAAAGTCACCACACATTCCGAGCACAAGTTCAAGGCCACAAGGCCAGTTCACATGCATGATTACATATATATATAAGGCTAGACAAGCAAGAGCAGGTGTATATATATATGCAACAGTACAAGCAAGGTCAAGGGGTGAGCAAGTGAGGCAAGGTAGGCACAAGACCCAGCTGAGTACAGAAGCGCTGATGATCACAAGGCGCAAGTGCCTTGGTGAAGATATCAGCAGTGTTGGCCTGAGAGGCCACGTATGCAAGCCGCAGCTGACCACACTGTTGTAGCTCACGAGCAAGGAAGTAGCGGAGAGCAATGTGCTTCGTTCTGTGCTCCAGTCTCTGCTCTCGACACAAGGCCAGCATGGCCTTGTTGTCTACGTACAGCACTGGAGGAGAACGAGGCGGCTCTCCGAGGTCAGTCAGCAGGTAGGTGAGCCAGCGAAGCTCCTGTGCAGCCATGGCCCCGGCGTAGATCTCAGCCTCACAACTGGAGCCGAGAACAGAAGACGAGCGGGTAGCCCGCCACGAAACAGAGCCGGAACCAAGGCTGAAGGTGTAACCCTGTGACGACCGCTGCGTAGCCTGGTCGTCAGCCCAAGAAGCGTCTGCGTGCCCAGTGAGGACCACTGGACTCTGCCCTCCAAGCACAAGCCCCATGCCCGACGTACTGCACAAGTAGCGCAACACCCTCTTCGCTGCAGCCATGTGCTCCGGTCTGTGTCTCCCAGGAGCAACATAGCGTGCGAGAATGCTAAGAGGGTATGCAAGGTCAGGTCGTGTGCAGGTCATCAGGTACATGAGGCAGCCAACAAGCTCTGGGTACGGGCCACTCGACTCTACGGACTCATCCGAAGGCAGAGCTGAGAGCGAGTGGCGAGTAGGCAGAGGAGTGGCCTGAGGCGAGGAGTACGTGAAGCCGAAGCGCTGAAGGACCTGCTGCACCATGTGTGACTGAGTCAGGGTAATGGTGCGGCGTGCTCTGTCCCGGGTGATCTGCAAGCCAAGGTAGCTGCGCAGTTCACCCAGGTCTGTGCACGTGTGTCTCTTCTACAGCTCGGACTTCACGTGGGCGAGTCCAGCAGTGTCAGCTGTGGCAAAGACCAAGTCGTCGACGTACACGAGGATGTAGAATGGCGGCAAAGAAGTGTCGGTGCGCAGAAACAGCGACGGGTCGGCAGTAGAGGGAGCAAACCCAAGAGCCGCAAGTGTAGTCCTCAGTGTGTCGTGCCACTCACGCGGTGCCTGGCGGAGACCGTAGACTGGCCGCCGGAGGCTCCACTGGGTGCCAGGAGGAAAAGACCCAGTGAAGCCAGGTGGGCGACGCAGCCAGATCTCCTCGTGCAGGCTGCCCTGCAAGAAAGCAGTGCTGAAGTCAAGAGAGTGCAGCTCGTAGTCGCGGTGAGCAGCTATGTGTAGCAGTACCCGAAGAGTGGTCATCTTCGGGGTGGGAGAGAAGGTCTGAAAGTAGTCAACTCCCTGCCGCTGACTGAAGCCACGAGCCACGTAACGCGCCTTGAAGACAGGCGGAGAACCCGGTGGCCGCTTCACCCTGAAAATCCACATGCCACTGACGATGTTCGCCCCAGGCGGGGGAACCTCGTCAACGTAGGTGCCTGTGGACTTCCAGGAAGCCATCTCTGTGTCCATAGCTGCCTGCCACTGAGAGGAGTAGGGACCCTCTATCGCCTCCGCGTATGAGCGCGGAGTCGGGATGTCAAGTGCATCCGGGTCTCCCTCAGGGGTAAGCAGTACGGACACGAGATGAGGTGAAGCAGCAGCCAAACACTGGAACTCCTCCTGCCTGTCCTCAAGGACGTCCGTGCCAAGGGCACACTCACCCCCGACGGACGGAGGACAGACAGACTCAGACTCAACGACAAGACTAGCAGCGTAGTCTAGACGACAGCGAGCAGCAAAGTCGACGAGCTCAGCAACTAGGGCAGACGCAGCAGTGGACTCAAAGGAAGGGTCAGTGATGACAGTAGCAAGGAGACGCGTGACAGTAGGACTGGCAGCACGAAGAGAGTCCGACTCCGGGTCGGGAAGAGCAGGAAGAGAGGACTCAGGAGGAGAAGGCAAAGGGGCACGCAGAGGAGCAGTGGACGGACACAGAGACATCCGGTGCGTGCCTGGGACAGGAGGAGGACGCTGACGCGAACCACGACCACTAGTGCGAGCAGCACGGACAGGCGACGCAGGGCGAGACGCAGGCTCACGACGCTCAGCTAGACCTCCAGTAGGACCAGTGTAGGGAGAAGGAGCGGGCAGTGTGGAGGCCGGCTGTAACTGTAACTGTGACGGGACAGGCTGTGGACACTCTAAGGGAGGAGGAGGACCAGTAGAAGGCGGGAGACCAAGCACCTGCTGAAGGAGCGGAACGAAGTACGGCCGAGGCCGCGCGGCGACTCCAGACACAGCAGGGACAGCACCAGTACCCCCAGCGGCAGCACCAGCGCCAGCAGCACCTCCAGCTCCAGTACCTCCAGCAGCACCAGTAGGACCCGCAGCAGGACCGCCTCGAGGACCGACAGCAGTAGCCTCAGCGCCAACACCCTCAGCAGCTCCAGCTC